AAAAACATAAGGGGCCAAAAGTGGCGAGAGTTCTGATGATCGCGATGAGGACCACCCCGATCCCTTTGGTACTTTTGAGGCGCGACGAAAGCGTGAGGAGCCAAAAGTGACGACAGTTACAAGGATGAAGGCTTTGAGGCACCAAAAAACGACGACAGTTACGAGGATTGAAACTTGAGGCGGCTCATGTCTGTGACTGTTGGCACTTTTGAAGGATATCGGGGGGGGGGATGGGGACGATACCTTTGGGGGGGGGGCTGGGAACGCAGAGCGCAGGACCTTATATTTCCATAAAATTTCAAGGCACATGTCGCCCAGCGAAAATGAAGACGCCCAACAACCAGATCTCACACACAAGTTTCTCAAGATGGGAATGTGCCTTCGGAATGGATTCCAGGTGCGTATGGGGCCCTTAGAAATAAATATAGGAGCCTACTTATTCAGACTAAGGTTTGCTCATATTGTGATAGCTCTATATATATATATACATTATGTGCAGAAAATGCAAACAAGCAGCAATGGCTAGGGAAAGCGCGCCGGCCAATTGGAACAGCGTGGATAGTAGGTCCATGCTTGCAGGATCCTGCATTTCAGCTATAAACAGTATTGATGCTTACCAAAATAGGAGCCTTTGGGAAAACTTCAGGGGTATATGGGAATTATGAGAAAAGACTGCCCCCGCTCAAAACTATATAGGGATTGCATTGAGAACCGCCCACCCATCTAGCTGAATAGAGCTACCCAAGCCAACTCCTATGTAGACCTTTCACAGGAAGCACATATAATTTCTAGAAACCTCACCTAAGGCCAGTTTAGCATAATAATCGCTATATAACCGAATGCAATAACCCCTATATAATCCTAGTCATCCACACATCAGGTCGATCCTTCAGATGGAAGAACACCGCATTGGCAGAGAGAAAGCCCAGCTCCAGGCCCACGCTCTGGCACAAAGATGCATGGGCTGGCGGCAACCTGAGGCAGGGATTGTTTAAGGTCTCGGGTGTTGGGTATGGGGAATACATAGGGATTCTATAGGGTTATCTAAACCGGGCTGGTATATCTACCATAGTCTAAACTCCTAGTATCCCCCTTACTACCCTCTGCAATACTCCCCTTTGTAATCCCCTATAAAGCCCTTTTTGAGGAGTAAAGACTATAGTACATATAGGGTAAGACCATGAAACCTAAACCCCGCGCACGGTAGGGTTAGATGGAAGGCCTTATTTGCTGGCGGCAACCTGGAAGATTCTGACAATAATGGAGAATCGAAGGGAAGAGAACATGGAAAGTCACATGGATGCGAGGGTTTAGATGGGGACTATACAGAAATCAGGACTTACTCGGAATAGTATGAAAGTAACTGTAGAATCCCCAATAAGGATCCTATGTTTCTATGGTCCCCAGGGCCTCCCTTTTTGAGAAACTGTCACAACGTCCGTAGAAACCGTCGAATGCTCCTTGCAAGAAATTATCCCGGCAACGGGGCGGGGACATTGAGTCTGACAACAAGGTGTGTCTCTAGATTGGTTTCTCTCTGGAGCCCCCCAGCTACACAATTCCGATCTCAAGATGCCCCAAAGAAACTGAAGATTTCATGGTACTCCCCTGTGCCCACCTCTCCACCCCCCAGCCATCCATCAGAATATCAGCCAGAGCGGTCAGGCCTGCCAATGCTCCAACCAGTGGCACGAGCGACGACAGGGCAGGAGGCTCCAACATCAACATGTCCACGACGTTGCTGGAAAAAGAAAGTAAAACACAGCCAGAGAAGAAGAGGAGGATCACCAACTTCGACTCCCGGGAACGAAGCTGTTGCACGGGTCCTTGTCTTTCAACCACAAGACAAAGAAGCCACTTGATCTGAAAAGGCACCTCGGAATAGTTCAGGAGCCTCTCATTTTCATCGCTTTCTCCTTTGCTGACTGCCCAGGGATTCTTACGCAGTAGCGCTGGAATGGTCCCGAAGGCGATGCCTTGCATGCAACCTTCCCAAATGTACAGGGACAGAAGGATGACAGTGTCTATCATGGCTGCGCGGACGCCTTCGATGCGGAGATGTTGGTGGAGACCTGGAGAGGGGAGTGCATACTGCGAAAATACGTAGAAGTTCAAACATGCTACTGCGTACAGACCCCATGTTGATGCGTACAGACCGAGGGCTGGAACTGCTCGCAGGTAATTGGAAGGCCCAAAGATTGTGGGGCTTAGGTTCTGTTGTTTGCCATCAATCTCGTGTGCGTATAGAGGACCATTGGTAGAATATAGTCCCCCTTAAGTAGATAGAATATGGAATTGCTCAATATCGTATTAAGATCCCCATATACCCCATATTCTATCTACTTAAGGGGGACTATAATCTCAACAAACCCGTATAACTGATAGGACTTTACGCAGCCAAGCGAACCTTTCCGTCAAACCTGGGCGCCCCTTAGTAGGGAGAAACCCTAAGCCCTAAACCCTTGAGGTCCCAAACATGAGGACTATAGCATTTTGAGGTCTATATCGGGGTCCCAGAATTATGGAAACTACTATATAGTCTCAGTTTCCATCTCGTTTTCCACTTGATTCTCCATCATGGGGATATAGGTCCTAAACCCCAGACCCGACAAACAACCACCCTGCACTTTGAAGTCTCAACCTTCAATATAAGAAGTATTTTCATGCTGTTCATCCCGGCCCACCAAAGGCCTCTAATTTCAATTTCATTTGGTGGAGGGCTTGGAGATTCTGTCGCTGTCACCTTCCGCACCAAGTGAGGGGTTTAGGGTTTAGGGGAGGCTTATGGTTCCAAGCTACGTCATGCTTTGCAAACATGCAGGCTTCTCAACATGGATGCCCTAGACTGCCCTTAGAGATATACTGGGGATCACAAGGAGATGATCGGGGCACCATTGAGGGTTCAACCTTAAATCTAAACCCTAAACCCTCCGAAGAGCCAAGCCTTGCAAAGTCGATCGTGCAAGACCCTCCCGGCCGTTGCCAAGACTTCCAACCAAGAACAGCTGCAGAGTCTAGGGTTCAGGGATTAAGGTTTAGGATTTAGGGATTGGGGTTTAGGGATTCGGGTTTGGGGTTTAGGGCAGAAACAAAAACAGGCAGAATCAGCAATCTCATAACTTAGGTGGACCCCAACCCAGTAATAGTGACAATGAGGGATATTAGTGATTATATTAGGGTCCTTTTGTATTCCTATTATATCACTATTTCAGGGTGGGGAGTCCTCCTATCTCGTAACAAATGCTGCCAATCAAGCACGACAATGCATAGGGGGAATATTCGTCCTGCCTATTACTGGGGGCTTAGGGTACTTATAACAAAGGCGGGAGTGGATTCTGCAGGTAATGTAGGGCTATCTGGGGCTTACTGCAAGCATACCAAAATTAACTGCACTTAGGCCCAATCATAGCCCTAGTAGGAGATTTAAAGGGCTCTGCTTGGGTTCTATAAGCATATCATTATCACCCGTACCTCACAACCACTACCGTCCCAGATGCAAACATGTCCAAAAACAATTGCACATCTAAATCATTATCGACCACGCCGCTCAATGATAAGCTGCTCTGTAACCATCATGGATATGCGGCTATGCTGAGCTACCTGGCGATGCTAAGCGTGAGAGCAAAGAGGTTCCTGCATAACACAACCCGGCAACGAGCAAATTGGGAGGCATGTGTTGAATTCGCCCTATGTATAAAACATGTTGTTCCCGTTTCCAAGCTTATGCTAACTGGCCATTCAACTCCTGCGGCGCCTTTACCAGACTGAAGGCCATGTTCCCAAGATGAAGCCCATGCCCAAATTCAGATTTCAGATTGTCGCATCGGACGTCACTACATGATCGGCTGCTCCTACCGCCGCTGGCATTGCTCCTTCTGTTCCACAACAGTACACGCAATGCTTCCCAGAGTATGCAATATCTGATGGTCTCTCAAACATGGACCGGCGAAATCCGTCTTCTTGGCTTGACTTCTGAGACGAAAGCTCTGAAACTTTTTTCCACTTTCCCAAGCAGCAGCTGTAAGGCATGAGCTTCCGTGCTCTTTAATTTGTGTGCAGGAGGACTTCGTATATGCATGAAAGCCTTGCCCTGTATCTTATTGGGAGTTAGTAGCGAATAAGGGATTATGTTATATGGGGATTATACAGGGATGATTTTCCTCATTCCCTACTAACCACCAGTAAGATATGCTCAAGCAGAATCTGAAAGACAACCTCTTCGTGCTTCAAGTGCTCCTCATTTCATTTTCTAGGGTTTTCAGACAAGTAGGTGCATCTTATTTGGCGTAGTTGTAACAAGGGGGGGTTCCAAGAATAACGGGTCCTTTTTCGGGAGTCCTCGCAACGAGGATGGTCTATACTGGAGTGCTCTCATTTACAGAAGCCACCACATCATAGGAATCCAGGAACCAACAAAGACAAAAACGCAGACCCCTGAGCAGCCTCGGGTTCCAACTGTTTGGCTTGAATTGCATCATCACAGCCCATAGAACAAGAGGACTAGCCCCTGGAAATTCCTGCGCAGGACAAGAAGCCCGCCAGTCCAAACAAACAAAACTCCAGCCTGCACTTCAACCAAACATGTTCCACACCACTCGTGACTATGAAAAGTGATTAATAAACCCCTCCTTTTGAGGGCCTTAATCTTAGGATCCATATGATAATCCCTATTAAGGTGAGGGGGTTCATTAATCAGGGGTCTGAGTTACCATTTCCCGGGAATGAATCTGTAGCCAATGAACGCGTTCGCCAAGCGAGCACCCTCAGAAGGTAATCAGCGGGCCCGATTCCTGATGTACCAACTACCTTGTCATGCCTATACCTCCAATACAGGGCTTGGTTGGCTTTCTTGGGCCACAGCACCTCGTCCTCAGCCGATGGCAACCCCTACGGTCCGAAGCATCCGAGGGTGACTTGACTTTTGCCCACTCGTAGCCTTACTACGAACCACAAGTGCTATCAAAAGAATAGTAATTAGAGCAATTACAACCTGATTAAAACCAGAATATTTTCCTACCTAGCTCGCGTGTCTGCCACGCAGCCCCTGAGAGCCTCGTTCTGGATATTTAGGCACCTGCGCTTCGTGATGCTGGCGTATCCACAAGTGCTTTCTGCATTTCGAATCCTTGTCCGACTGGTAGGATAAGGCGGCCGCAATGCTTGTCACGAGCCCCAAGCCAATACAAAGGCCAACCAACTACAAACATAGTAATGAGGTGCACCTGGGGTGTTGACATGTAAGTCGATTGGGCATTTTTGGCCACAGCATTTTACACAATCCAAGAATCTACCGTCACGACTTTCAAGCGATCAAGCTCGGTAAAAGTACAACACCTGTGGCTGTCAGATATGTCACCGCTTGCGTGCTGCCAGTCAGCTGCATTCAAAGCTGGGAATGCCAGAGCCCCCTGGTTTTTGCGGACACGCATGCTTAAGAGTAATATACCTACACAGAAGAGGGTTCTGGCACAATATTTTCAACATGCAGATCTTACGTGGCGTTTCCATGGGTCGAAAAGAAGAAATGCACTGGGAATTTCAGCCGAAGACTTTGAGGGGCATTGTGAAATCCAGATAAATTAGATCAGGAAACCTTGGCCCCGGGACTCCAATCCCACGGATCCTACACCTTGGAGTGTCCCAGGTAAAGTTAGCATGACTGAAAGCAATCTCGCGGATGCTGCCCCATCGCTTTTTTACACTCATCTCAAGCTCCTATAGCGATGTACAAGGCAACGCATAACTACGTAGGTTGGTGCAGAGGTTCAAGACCACTCAGTCAAGACATCAGACCCCTGGAAGCATGATGAGGCATCTTTCTCCATCGAAGCGCCACGCTGGAGAGAGCTGGAAGCTCATTTAAGATGAGTAGCGCGGAGTTTGACAATAATTCCTCTCAAGGTTTTATGCTGCCCGCTCTTGACACATGTGGTGTACAGCAAAACTGTGGGGTGTGGATATGTCCTGTGTTGCTCAGCGTGTACCAGGGTTGCAAACACTCTGGGCAAGGCTTAAAACCCCAAAACGTCTTTTGTTAACTGGGAACACAGCAAAGCTGTAGGTGGTAACGCCAGCGCCGTCGACAGCCCTTACAGAGCCGTCGCCAGGAACTTTCCGCACCATGCAGTCGATTTACCAAGGCGTATTCTGGGTTGCTGTTAAGGAACCCAATTCAGGTTACTACTATATTGGGGAAACCTTATTATTTACTATGTATACCCACTATGGTAACTTAGACTAAATTCCTTAACAGCAACCCAGTATTGCTCAGAGCGGAGAATCCAGTGCCTATGCAGCGGTTGGAAAGCTCGGGATGGAGGGAGGAATTGACAGAGGCTCTTCTGGACTTACTGTCCTCTGAGGTACAGGAGCTTCGGGGCACTGGGGCATATGCTACAGGGTTTATGCTTGGGATCATAGAGTTTCAGGTGTTCGTGGTTGAAGCTTTGCAGGGATGCAGGAGTAGGGTTTCAGGGCCTTGAGAGGTTCTGGACGAAGCCTCCCTGATCAGCGTCGTTGGGCCTGGATTCGAGAACTTGGGTTTATGGTTTTACTTGGGCCTCATGCCCAACTTACTTACTACCTGCCCCGGGGTTGGGGATATGAGAAGGGACAACAGGAAAGTGGATTCAGTGACGGCGCACGGGAATCTTTTGGGCGCTGACGCAAAGCTGTCAAGTACAAGCCTGAAAACTTAAGTATTTCATCCCGATGTGATCTAGGTCCTGATATGCTGCTGTTCTAGTGAGTGGGCCGCGACAGCAGCCTAGCCCATAATGCGAAAGCTTCAGCAAAGAAGTTTTTTCGAAGAGGAGGAGGTTTCTCGAAGAGGGATCAGATTGCATGGTCTGGGTGGAAAAGCACCATGCTAGCAAAACACCGGCACCATGTGGCACATTGCCTTTTGGCACACTGCCACGTGCTTAGATTCCCTTGGGCCAAAACAGGCCAGAAACTTGTTGCTACACATTTCATCAGTTTCATGGATAGGGAATCTCGAAACGTGCTAGGAAAACACCAACACAGCGCCATTGGCACTTTGCTCCGTGGCACACTGCCTTCTTGGCACAGAGCCACATTCTCAGGCTCCCAGCGGCCAACAAAACTTATATAGGGGTCATATTGGGGTTATATAGGGGTTATTGGGATATTGGAAAAAATGGAAAGATGTTGTTGCTGTTGTCTGCTTTGAAAAATCATTGAAACAAAACAGAATCTTGCACTCGGGATCAAAATCTGGCACTCGGGATCCTGGCACTTCGTACCCAGGGAACCCCTCACAGTTGAGGGTCCATCTCAACAACATCATTTTTCCGGAAAGCAAGTCAACATCAACAAACTGATGGTTTTGGGGTTCCCTGCGTAAGCCTCAGAACTGCTACATCAGGAATAGCCCCCACACAAAAGCAGTGCTGCAGAAAACCCGACAAACGCCTTGGTACATCTTCTTCAAGGGCAGTTAATGTACGGGGCCAAACCCAATGGCTACATTGCGTGCTGGCCCATTCGCTAACATGAAGACAAAAGCTGTGTTTTGGGGTTATATAGGGGAAATATTGGGATAATGGAAAATAAGCTGGAAACTACCAGAGAGTTATATAGGGTTATATCTACCTTGAGTGTCATGAACATGTCCTTCAAGACTGTTGCGGGATGGGGGCAGCACGCAATCGTTACAGCTCAACGTATGCGTTGGCAATTGCCAACCTGTAAACTGTCTCGCAGCCTTCAACTTCTCCCTGAAAAGCTTGCTTCAAAAAGTCTGGCACGGACCTCAGAGGCTTCGGGCTTCAGAGTTGTTTGGCTTGTAAGTCTCAGCTACACGTGAAGGTTTCTCAGGAAACCATGTAAAATGAAACATCTTGGGATGGCTTGCGGCGTTGGATGCCCTGCAATGCAGAACATGCGTTTAGGTTTGTGTGTGTCCCCAAGAAATCCCAAACACCGTGGTTTCTTCGCCTGGTTCAAGACGTCAGGGCAGCCATGATGACACAATCCGCGTCTGTGGTTGTGGTTGAGGTTTACTCACATGTCTGCAACAACTGCAATACAGCCAGTTCCATTCGAGCGAGCACGTTGCAGGAAACTGGCAAATTGGGCATGCTGCGAGCGCGACCGAAACCAGTTCGTGGTGTGCGCAGGCTGGCGAGTAGATAAGCGGGTTTGCTAGAAGCAACACCGCCCCTTGGGTACGGTCTTGCAGGTTGGCGATTATTATGGGGTGCGAAGAGTTTTGCTAGGCAAGGGTCCAGACCGGCGTCGCTCCAGCGCACTTTCCCCTTCGTTGTTTCAGGTGGGGCGGTGTGAGCCGGAGGCTCTTCAGCTGCATAGAAATCATGCTGAAAAATACTTACATCTAGAACCTCCGTGAGAAACGGTGTTCGGGGGCTGTTCAGGGGCCATGTGAGCCTTCTGGTGCACAAAAAACTACAACCTTCCTACATAAACAAAGCCGAAAACTGCTTTCCAAGCTAGCCCCGGCGACTGCTCTTCTGCGAAATCTGACGCCCTCCAACGGCGAGCGTTCTGAAGGTTTAGGTCTGCCCCACATGCGATCAGAGCAGCCGCACCCTCATACCTTGCTGGAACATTGAGAAAACCCCGAGATTTCACTCTTGGAGTTCTTACATAAGGAATGCTTATCTCTGAGGTACATGCCATAAGGGGAGCCCCAGCTTACTCTACAAAAGGACCATGATTCAGGCCGGCCTTGATTGGGTGCGACTAGCCGTGGCTGGTGCGCATTGCCATCTGTACGGACCCTAGCTCTGCAAGATATAGACAACTCTCAGAACTCAGGTGCCAACTGCGGCAATACAAGCAAGGTATAAGGATTTAGAATAAGCACTGAAACTCTTAGCTCAAAATAGGTCTAAAAAGCCTCCAAGGTTCTGTCCTGACAGTATTGCTGCCATCAGAGGTGTCCTAAGGAAACGAAATGCTGAGCCCGAAAAATTTCTCTTTTGAACTCTTCCAATCTGGGTCCCCCCTAGCATTATTTCCTGAAGGATCCAGTTTTGGGGATCGCCGCCAAAATGAGGTTTCCATGGGGCGAGAGGTGTTGGGGAAATATAGTACAAGTAATACAATAGTAAAAAAGCAGTAATAGTCATAATAGCAATAATAACATGATAGTAATAATACAAATAATCATCATATCATAGTTTGACATTCATCTGATCTGGATTGGTTGGATTAGAATTTCGCTGGCCTCTCCGGCGAAGAGAGCCCCACCCTCTTAAAACGCATCGTTTCGACTGCTGACAAAAATTGTTTTTGCGTGGGGGCTGCCTTTAGTGTCTCTTAAGAATCCTGTAGAAAGCTATCCTGTACTCTTCTGCAGCTTACAATGAAGTTTACGTGCTTTAACCCCAAGTTTCTGCTTCTGGAGATGGTATATCCACCGCGTGAACACGGTGGCCCTTCCAAATCCTTAGAAAGTCCAGTCGACTGGGGAATCATTGGGGTATCGCTGGATTCGAATGACAGTACCTAATGCTTAATGTTCAGGGCTTATAGCTTTTGAGTTCTGAGTTTAGGTCGTAAAGACTCCAACCCTAAACCTTCTAACAAACTTTTCTGACACGGAAACACTATTCATAAAACGAACAAGCAGCTATGCTGTAGGCTCTTCACAGCAATAATGAGCTTGAGTATCAGGATGTCTGCGCTGATATTCACATAGTTCACGTCAGCTCGGCAATCCAGAAGCCTTTTCACGACCTCTGCGCTGCCACCCCGAAAAGTAGTGGCCCAGTGGAGTGTGTTGGAAAAGTCCTCAGTTTTCTAAACATGACACGCTTAGTGATCAAAACCCGAATGCTGGCCAGCAGTGATTTCATCCTCAGTTACCTCGCTTTCTTTCAAGTTCTCTCGGCACTCAAAGCGTTTCATACATGGATAGAATCCATGAAGGAGGATATCCCAAACGCTTAACTTGGTGCGTTTAACAAAAAAGAAAAAAAGCAAAAAGCGTGGCAATGCAAAGAAGCCCTATTTCAGCACTTGGTGTCCGGCCCCTAATCCACTTCCTCATTCCCACAGCCCTTCAAATTGATGCCAAACTCTGAAAGAATCATTACTATTATTGCTACTAATATACATTATTCTTTATTGCTATAGTTAAGGTTACTGATATTAGTATTGTTATTATTAATAATATTGCATCCAGCACAGTCCCTACAATGCATCAATGAAAATCCTGAATTGTGCATGCAGTAGTGCATGATTCTTCCTGCACGTGTACTACACCTGCGTGACCTCCACAAGTCACTGGGTATGATACCAATACAGTGCTTAAAACATCCTTCATATAGGCGATTCATGTAAGAGTTTCTCAACGGCCCTAAACCCTAAACTCTACAACGGCAAAGGCCAACAAGAACGAGAGACGTGCTTGTGCAGAATGGGCTTGCCTTGAAGCAAGAGCTCCTCGAGGGCCACCCCAACACCCTAACGAAATCTTTCAACCCAAAGTCCCTGACACCTAAGCCCAGGGGTTATATTGGGGTTACGTAGGGGTTATATGGTTTTTTAGGGTTATACTGGAGTTATATAGGGGTTATATTGGGGTTATACTAGGGGTTATACTGGGGTGTTATTCCCTCAACCTCAAACTCTTTCAGACCAATCTCAGTACCCCAACCCTGAGACCTTGAGGCTTTTAAAACTTTTTATCCCTGGAACCGTCATAACCCTTAAAGCCCTTTACTGCTGAACCGCAAACCTAAGACGTACCCTTCACTCACAAATGGCGATCTCTAGGTGTCCTACTAAATTCCTACAATCCGACGCAGGCTAACCGCTAAGCCCTAAACCCTGACTCCTAAAGCCTAAACCCTGTACAAGCCACAGAACCCAGATTCAAAGACGTAAACCCTGCCTCCAAAGCAGCGCTAGCTCCAGAGGCCGCAGCCGAATCAAATGCCTCAAATAGCTGGGTTGGCCCCTAGAACCCTTTGGAAAATATTAGTATATAGGGTCCCTCATTAAAGCCATTAGGGAAAGTATTAAATATCCAGACCCAGATAGATGAGCATGGGTGTAGCGTTTAGGGTCCAACGCCTAGCTGTAGCTCAGGATTTGCAGTTTTAGTGCTAGGGCTAAAGCAAATTGTTTTACCAACGTCAGGTGCGAACTCAGGTTGCCACACCAAAGCCCCTGTCCAACTATCGAACGTCTACAGAAACGGACTGACATGGTAGTTTCCCTAGAAGAGGGACCCCAATACAGACCCCCACAGTGCTATAATTTCAGTACTGCCCCCCCCTCAGTAACAGTAATCCTTATCGGGAAACCACATAAAAGTATCCATAATTTTGGGAAACTACCAAATTCTAAGGAGGGCGACATCTGCCGGGAGACTGGCACACCACCCTACAAAGGTGCCGCTATTTGTTATGGAACTTTAGGTAACTTACTAATGAGCTATAGGCTAAACTCCTAGTATCCCCCTTAATAAGTCCTACAACAGGAACCCCATATAGTCCCCTTTATTGAGTTTAGACTCCAGCTCATATTGCAAGGAAACTGAATCAGTAAATCCTTAAAGTTAAGTAGAAGGTTCATGGCTTGTTGACATATACGTTGGGCTCTGGAGCTGAGGCTGTCAAGGACAAGCTGATTCGAACTCTGGATCTCAGGACTAAGGTAGGTTTGGGGGGGTCTACAAAATTTGAATTTTCATGGCATGATAGTGATTCTGTAGGGTTAAGGGTAATGGAAGTATGAAAACCATCTTCAAACCTAGCCTTGAAGAATCCACCATGCCCTGGCTTCACATTGCGAATGCCAAGACACGCATAAGTTCAGCCTACTGCGTCTCGATGGATCACAACGTGCTTCACACAGGATGCGAACACCTTCAGGATCGTTTGCAATAGCTGCTGCAGTAACGACCTCAGCACACAAAAGGGCACTTCTGTCAAGGATTGAGGAATGAGTTTTTGGGGAGGAAGCCGCGCGTCTGTGTTCCAACTCCTACTCCCTGACCAGCCTGCACATCCCGGCAGGATATGGGGCTTTCTCAAAAGCGAGGTGCCCTCAGGGACCTGTTTCACGGCTACTTGAGGATGCTGAACATAACATAGGCATATCTCATTAGCACCTCCCACCCACTAATTGCGACCACCACGAGTGAGAATACGACTTACATGAAAGCCCGATATACCCCCCTAATTGAAGACTATGCGAGATCTGAGATGGAAGGCTTCGGAACTCTTTTTTCCCTAACCTCAACACCACTGAAATCCTGAAACCATCAAACCCTCAAATCCAAAAAAAGAAGAAATATGAATTCTCATCACACATTCCTACAGTCCATTACAATACTGTAGGCTCCACAAGCCCTACGCAAGCCCGGCAGCATCAAAGCCAGAAAAGCAGGCAAGCCAAATAAGTTCAGGGTTCAGGAACTCCTCATAACTAAACAATGCGAAATCAACCTGACAACTATATGGAAACGTTAGAACACTGCAATTGAAAATCAGATGGAAAAGACAATGGACAACTGAATGGAAATGGCGGGTTGATATATATATATATGAACTTGGGATTGCAATGATTTAGTAGTCACGGCCAATTATGAGGGGGTATTGAAAATCCAAGAATACTCATAATAGGGGACTGGCGGGGCTTGTAATTGGGTTACAAGTATTTTGATATTTGCGTAATTACCCTGGAATACCTCATTTTGAAGGCTACCCCTAGCGCCTCCTCTGCTAGAACGCCGCAGATCAAATCAGAACGGGCGGAGATAAGCAAGCGCATCGCCTGACTAGACATCTCTCTGCACGACAATTTGAAAGCGAAGATAAGTTTCTAAGAGGAAGCGCAAGGCTCGATTTTGTCTCGGGAACGGGTCCAGACAGGGGCACCCGGAGCTGATAACTTTTGGGGGCTTTAAATTGTTGAGGAGTTAGGGGTAAGGGTTTCAGGTTTTGGGGTTTAAGGTTTAGGGCTTGTGGGGTTGGTTACTCGGGTCGAAAGCGAGGTTCAGGGCTTGTAAAGCTTGGGGCTTACTGGGCTCTGGGCTGAGGTATTGGGATAATGGAAAATAAAATGGAAGCTATAGGAGTTATAGGGGTTCTAGGGGTTCTATAGGGATTATATGGGGTATATTGGGGATTATAAATTCCCTATTCCAGCATCACCTAGACCGGAACCCCGAACCCGGTACGCCCCTTGTAGTCCCCATGTGGCAGTTTGCCTAAATGCCGGGATGCAAATATAGGCCCCAAATTGCTATGATTCTTATTATAGGGACCCCTCGAACGGACGCCCTTAATTCTGGGAACCCGCCATGTATCCCTATGGCCCGCGATGTTGAGGAAGCCCCATATTGCAGTCAATATTACCCAGATTATGGATGGACATGGGTTCCTTATTAGGCACTATATTGGGAACTAAACGACAAGAGGGACCCCTATGTCCACTGCTATGGGTCCCTAAATAAAGCTAATGTAAACAGCAGCTCATATAATCCCAGGCAGACGGCTTCCCCCACCAGTTAAACCCTAGGACCGCGCGGCTAAACGCAGTCCGTCCAATCTCCAAGGTTGAGGTTTCAAACTTTCAGGGTTCAGGGCTAGGAGCTCAGGGCTTTCAGATAACAGAACAGGATTTTGAGGGGTCTGAACCCAGGTTTTGGCCTCAAACCCTATAGTCCGGCTTAAGTAGATAGAATATGGCTTCGAGTATGTTATAATAAGATCCCCATATACCCCATATTCTATCTACTTCAGGGGGACTAGAAACCCTAAACCCGGGGTTTAGGCGTAAGCTTCGAGTCTAAGCCCGGTTCGCAAGACTTAGTGTTCAAAGCTTAGCTCTTCTTCTTGGGGCTGGTGCTTAAGAACTCAAGATTAGGGCCGATACCCGGTAATTTTCATGTATCAGCATAATGGGGGGTTCCACCTGTCTGATTTGGAGAAATTCCCAAAGATTAGCTCTCCATACCCCTGCAAACCCTACGAAGCACGATCTAACCCTATATGAACTCCTAGTATCCCCCGTAAGAACCACTATAATACTCCCCCATATAATCCGCTACATAACCCTCTTTGAGTAGTTAAGACTGTAGCTCATATAGCCCTATATAACCCCTACAAACCCAGTATGTAGAGCCTCTAGAACAAACAGTCCTTCAAGGGCCAGCCTCGTGATGCTTGAAGAAACTGCAGATCTGCAGTGCTGTCATGCCCGTGTGGGCCCCAACCAACGGCTGCTCCTTCCTTCAGGGATGATAGGGTATCAGGTTTAGGGCTTAGGGTCTGGGGGGTAAGGCAGGGTTTTCAGCTTAAAATTCAGAGCTGTAAGGGGGGCAAGCTCGTGTCGCGAATTCAGGGAAAACTTTGTAAGGTTCTAAGACCTAGAGGTTCTCCTTAGCTGGGCTGGTGTCTCATTGCAAAATCTGTAATCTATAAGTGCATGATTCCATCTGCCTTATTGTTTCCATGTGGTAGGTTTTGTTTAGGGAAAGCTACGATGGTACCAAAAATCCTGTATGAAACTAAGTACGTAAATCCTTGGGAATAATGGTACTATAGTATACTAAGGTCATGCAGTGATTCGATACCAACAGTGTGCATATCCTTTTTGTCTACATTTCTCAGAACAGAAACCGTAAACCCTGTAAACCCGATCATATTCCTATATAACCCTGATATATCCCTTACATAACCCCCTAAACCCTAAACCCTAATCCCTAAACCCTAATCCCTAAACCCTAAGCCCTACACCCTAATCCCTAATCCCTAAACCCTATATAACCCCCCCTAAAACCCAGTTAGGAGCTTTCTTTTCTCAGCAGCGGCTCCGGGTCCAACAGTTTACGTCCACCCGCTGCTGAAGCAAGCCGCGAATCAAGACTGGGTCTCCGCCTGGGGGTATATAGGGGGATTAAACGGGATTATATAGTGATATACATAGGGGGTATATAGGGTTTCATAGGGATATATAGAGTTTTAAGGTCTCCGCCTGGAGTCTTTGGTTTTGGGCTTCGGAAAAATAGGGTTTTAGGATTGAATGTTTAGGATTTAGGGTTTTGGGATTTAGGGTTTAAGGTTTTTTGGATTTAGGGTTTTGGGATTTAAGGTGTAGGTTCGTGGTTGACGGCCACAGGCCCAGGATCCCAGCGGCCAGGGGAAAACAGGAGGAATTCTAAACCCCAAAACCTCTAAACCCTTTGAACCCTTCTACTTCCCTAAGCCCTGAAACCCTAGACTCCATATAGCACTAACTCCTTGGCTACATCTGCAGCTCATGTGAGCTATAGTCTAAAACTCCTAGTATCCCCCTCAATAACCTCTATAATACTCCCCGATATAATACCCTTTAGACTATATAGCTCATGTGTGATTTCATTGGAAGGAATGTAAACCTCAAAAAGGCCCTGCAATCTTTTCCTTTGTCCCTTGCAGCTGCACTTTAGGTTCAGGGTTGTGCAAAATGAATGGGGCTGGAGGTGGGATACTTCTTCTTGTGACCTCTAGTTTTACGTTTCGTTAAGGGTACTTGCAAACGTACGTGTAAGCAGACTTAGAATCAGGCACGATCCTCCATAGCCCCTCTAACTACAAACGGATGAGCTCAATTACAGCCGGAAACGCTACGTGAGGTAGAAACCTACAATACCTGAACGACTTTGCTGCTTGTAGTTGGCCAGCTGTAACGCGGCGATTCCGGTTGTAAAGTCTTCCTTCTGGTTCTTTGCCCTTTGCGCCTGACCTAAATTCCAAACCCTATGAAAACCCTCAACCCATTTCGCCCCTACTTCCCGCAAAGTACTTCGGCCTAAGGCCGCATAGTGCAAAGGACACCAACCGGCGCGATCCGGTCGGTGAACATTTGCCAAACCATTCCTGCTGGGAGTTGCTCAAAATCATGTGTCCTGCTGGCGCCCCTCTTCTTGGGGGTGGACCCCAATGTTGAGAAGCTTCCAACTGGGCATCGTTGTTCTTTGGGTTGTGGCAGTACAGGATTTGGGTGTCCACTTCAGTGTGCATGGCTTTCCATGGAGCCCCGTTCAATGACGCAATGGTCTTCGAACAACCCATTTGCGATTCCATGCTGTCGGATTTCGGGCACAGATCCCGCAAAACGAGCTATGCTCTGCTTGAGATTACCCTAATTTAGACTCATGATGAATAAGCCCCCTCCTTTTAAGGGCCTTAATATTAGGATCCCTAGTATAATCCCTGTTAAGGGGAGGGGGTTTATTAATCAGGGGTCTACATTAAGCATGAACTAGAGACTGTGCTTTAGCAGGAGTTTGTTAGCACGCATGGCACACAGCAACTAGACCTGAACCCTAGACTGTGTAGCTCAAGAGCTCAAGAATCCTGCCATTTCGGCTCAGCCAAATGGGGTACTTAGCAGTCCTAACCGTGCTTCCGTATGGTATTTTCTGAAAATTGGGTGTACCCAAGGGACCCGAGCGGCGTAGACGCAGAACTGTATCATCACTAAGAGCAGTTGAGGCTCTGATGCAGGAATCGATCCACCGCTTGGCGTGGAGAGTCCATCTCCGGCAACGTGTCCGACTCAAAGCCAGGAATGAGGTCACGCACCATCGTTGCCGCAGGGAAGCCTGCCAGGGGTATAATACAGGGTTATGTAGGGATAATGGAAAAGAAAGTGGAAACTACTGTATAGTATAAGGAGGCTGCAGAAGCGCAGGTCTTTCTATGATGCTGCATATTGGGTCATGCATGTATCTTTCACACCAAGGATAACCCAGCTGTCATGCCAAACACATGTAAATTGCTTATACAACTTCTTCTTCCACATACCTGCATTGGGCTGAGTATCACACGTCTAGCCTCGTAGGTGTACACTTTGCATGTTGTGAAGTATCCGGAAGGCGACTAAATCCTCAGCCCTTAGCAGAAGCTTCATCTTGCGCATGAGCACACCCTGGAGGACCTGGCTGCTGCATCGTGGGAACTCGGAAAAAAGCGGTTAAAGGTTTAGGGTTAAGGGTGAGAGCTGCTCTACTTGGGGGTCATAGGGGTCAGATGATTATTCTCGGTGTAATTTGCTATCGCATGCTGACATGCCAACAAGTAAAATCAAGGAATCACTATCCATCCTAATGGGAACGCTGTAAACAGATTTCAGAAATCAAGGAAAGCTTGCAGCACTACTCCTAGCCGTCTCTACATTAAGAATCATAGTTCCCGCATCCCTTGAGCCTCTATACTGCTCCAATCCCTAAACCCTAGCCCCCGAAACCTAACCCCAGCCCCTGCTGATCCATAGCCAAGGGCTGGAGCAAGTTTGTTGCGATCCTCCTCCACAGTGAATAGCCCCTCGCCTGCTGACCCTCCTGTAGGAGTGCAGAAAGGAACATACGCAACTTATCTGCATTGAGATATGCCACCTAAAACTTGCGATCTGCTTAAAGGCAGACAGGCACAATATCACCGGAAAAAGGCTTGATTGTGAAAATTCATCCTGGGAAGGATACGGTGGACGAGATAAGCTCCATCTCCGTGCCACTCTTTATAATGACCCAGGTGTGATCTTTCGACAGCTCGCGGCAAACTCTCTCAACCCTGCACCTGGATTTTCCGTCGGGGAAGGATGACAAAAGATTCTTCCTTGCTGAGCTTAAACGATCGGAAACAGAAAGCTCATTCGCAACCTGGCTCAAAAGTCTTTCTAATGTTACCACGCAAATAACTTCAAAAGAAGGCTGCAAGGCTTACATCCCTAATAGCAACTATCCTCAATAAAATGTTAATTTCAATTTTTCTTTTCCACTACCCTTTTTCCCCCGCATAACCCTAGTTTCCATTTGATGTTCCCATTGCCTTCTCGTTGATTCTCCTGTATTGGGATGATATCAATTCCCCCACTTTATTTCATTGTTCATTCGCGTTTCCATGTGATTGGCCTTTATAATATTTTCCATTTTCTTTTCCATTTCCCAAAATCCCCCTGTAGAACCCTACATAATCCTACATACCGAATGCAACCCTGTTTTGAGTAATATCAAAATCCCCCTATTTTCCCATTGTTCTAGACACCATCCCCGCGCTGCCCACGTCATCGGCGTGAATACGGAACCCAGGCTAACTTGTGGCACCACTGGGCAGAGGGCAAAGAAGAAGCGGCACTTGGCAACATAGGCCTCATTTCTTGAAGTGGCTTCTGTTGTGGTACTAAGCTTGTACAGGTCCTGCCAGAAAAATAACCCACAAATTTTCAGCAAGATGCTGGGATGCTTCTGATCGCCTTGGAAAGGTCACTTTCGTCAGGTTGGTTGCAGAAAGATGCTGTGAGGCTGATGGTTGCCCGGGAAAGGTCACCGTCGTCAGGTTGCACAGCACCTTCTGGTACTCGAGAAGGCGGCTTGATAATGAAAAATTAAATGGAAACTACTGTAATATATTGTGGAGGTCCTGTGAGGGGTATGCTGACTCCAGGGTTCAGGGCAAACCCAAACCCTTTGAGACCTTGGCCCAACAGCTGCGGGCATGAAAAGTAATCGAACCAAATAAAGAGGGGTGAGGATCGCAGCTCCAGCGATCGCAGGCGCTTCGTGCTTGGCACATAGAGTTCGGTGAACATGTCCAAGGGGACATGCTGGGAGCCGGACCTCGGTTGTACTTGAATTGAAATTTAGGGTTTTGTAGGGAATAGGGAATATAGGGGTCATATTGAGTATATTGGGATAATGGAAAATAAGATGGAAACTACTATATTATAGGGTGACCATGATGGTTTAGTATCCCTTTTTCGGACAAAAAGTTGGTCCTATACCAGCTTTTAGAATCGTATAATTTTCGAACAAGCTTGGTACCATACCAGCTTTGTTCAATCTGAGGCTACCAAACAGACCCGCAAAGGCACAATAAGTGTGTCAGCGCATCTTGAAGCACTCGCAGTTGCTTGAACTCAGGATCTGGATGATTGTCGCCCACCCATTGATGTGATACGAACGCAGCATTTCCCATACCCTCCTTGAATTCTATAGCCACGCCTTTGGCCTTCAGCACTTCGTGGGGCTCGTTCACTGTCATCTGTAACACGGCCTCCACGGGCACCGTGTACATCGGGAATAGCAAGGGAGCTGCGGCGTCTGAATTGCCTGCATCAGAAAAGGAAGCCACCCAAACCCAACCGAATCTTCCCTTCTCAGAGGCATCGGATGCAAGCCTTGTCTAGTGTTCACAGTACGAATAACGTAGTGGTTCTTAGTAGGGAACAAGGGAATATAACCTCAATATAACTGTGTAATGTATTCCCATATTCCCGACTAAGAACCAGTACGAATAATTGCCAACGGTAAAGCCAGCTGGGATGCTTTAATACTATACTGGAGAGGACGCTCACAGTCCAGTTATGCTCCGTACACGCCACCATGATCCTTTTTTCAAAAAGACCTCCATCTTGGCCCCTGAAGCCTAAACCCGAAATCTCAAGACCCGAAAGCCTAATCCCTAAACCCTAATCCCTAAACCCAACCCTAAACCCTAAAACCCTCCCATTTGATGTAGGAAACGCCGCACCACTCCAGGTCCGCCAAGGCTAAATAACAAGAACCGCTTGCCTTCCCTGAATTGCGCCAATTGGTCTCCATAAAGAATAGTTGTCGAATACCCACTTACGTACTAAGTACTGCATGTCTTGTCCACAGACCGCTGTCCTTCTTGTGGTCTTCTGGACCCTCAGTTTAGGGATCCCCTTAATCTACACCATCCAAGGGCTTCTACGGCTTTACATGCTGCGCACAAGGCGTTACGCCTTTAGCACATACTGCCTTTTTCCAATGCTACTGAGAGCGCTCTTACTTTTTGTACCCCCAATCCTTTTGCTCACTTCAAAAGGGGCCGCCTTCTCCCTGGTTGCGCAAGAAGTTGGCATACTCAGCCAATGCAGATCTCTCAGCTCTCGGTCCGCAGCATGCCATCACTCGCAAACACCCAGAATGCTGGGGGCTTCGCACAGGTGCAGTTATGAAGGTCTAGCAAAACGCTCCTAAGCCGTATATGGGAGTTTCTCAAAGCAGCTCCTCTACAATCCTCAGGGGGAATCCATCGTCTCCCCTTGAAACCCCCTACGCGTCTAGCCTGAAGCTTGATATACATACTGTAGAAGCCTGAATGATGACCAATTCTGTTCTCTTGTAGACCATATACATATATAAGTCTACTATATGCTGCCCCAAACCCTTTTATGTCTATTCAAGCCCCCGCATTCAACATTTAGCTAGCAAGCCGGGCTGGAGCACAGGTGGTCGAACAAGCCAGGAAGATGACGCTGAGCGCCGAGCATGTCACCTCCCTTCCCGATAGGCATTGGAAACTACAATACTGTTGGGGCTTGTATATGGGCTACTGTAGGTATACCTTCCTCCATTCCCTATCAACAACCACACATATCTGAGTGCTTTTCACAGCAAAATCACAGGCAACAAGCCCAAAACGCATCGTGCAAGACAGATTCTCAATGGTGATGAGCCCCCAACAGAATCCCCTTTAGAAACTACATGGATGTGTCGCCATACCCACGGTTACTTGCTTATTTTTGATCGTTCACGATGTCCATCTTGATGCTAAAAGCTTAAGGGTTCCCCTACTATGCCCCCCCAAACTACCCCCCCCCATGCTCCACCCAAACCAGCAAGAATTTGCCCGAATTAACCCGAAGTATCCAACATACGACCGCGTTGCTGGTAGAGTAACCCGGGAAAGATATGGTTTTGTCGTTCTTAGAGCCATGATCGGTCAAAGGCAAGCACAGAAATTCACATGAGTAGTGTTTTTTTGGTGGTTGAACCTAGTAAGATTATATTCCTTAAATAGAATACCATACCCCAAAAGGGCATAGAATCTTACTCTATATTGGATACAATAATATCCCCCAAAAAATCCTACTCACGTGTCACTTCGAGGCTTGACCACTACCTCTACTTTTGCAATTCTCGTTAAGCTACCATCACCAATGCAAGTACCATTACCAGTGCTATTTCTATCGCTATGGGGACTACCCGCACAGTCCGCCTGCTGCTGATGAGGCAGACCATCCTGGAAACTGGTTTAAGGGTTTAGGGTCTAGGATTCAACTCCTCATATCCCCATTATTGTCCCTATATACTCCCCTATATCACGCCCTTTAAGGAGTTTAGTCGCTTGCCACCCTGGGACACATTCATGGGAGAATGAAACCACTAAAGATTTTATCAAAATTGAAAACTCCCAGCTCTTGTGCTTGTACATCCGCGTAAATGGGATCTTGGTTCAAAAGCGTCCACCTACAGTCTTGATTAATGGTCCCAAGTGCTCCTTCGGCTCTTGACCTGAATGTTGAATGAAATAAATAAACCCCTTGATGCTTCCTGTCACCGATTGAGGACCAGCATTGAGAAAAAGTTCATGAAGTGAACATCGCTGGCAGAAGCACCGAGCAGTATGTTTCTTCTGACGCGGCTTTGCAGAAGGGACCCCGTTTATCTATCGACAATTTTCTATGTGCTAAACTAAGCCTTGAAGCAGGACTTTAGTTTAGAGCATCCTCAACGTAAAGCCTTAACCTTATATAACCCATGATGGTAGTTTCCATTTTCTTTTCCACTATCCCCATATAACCCCTATATACTATAGTAGCTTCCAACAGAACAAGGAGCTGGGGCAAAGCTGCTGGGGGATGCAACTGGCCTCCGACGGAGCTGCACAGGAAGGACGACCGCAAGATTTGAACCAGGCTTGCAAGCAAAGTGGCAACCGCAAAGCTTCAAATTGTAAATTGTTCGAAAAGCAGGGGCTGCGGCCTCCGGGGTATCAGCGCAGTTCATTAGAAGATCATCGTAGTGGGTTATCAATGTCTTGTGGCACTGCCAGACACTCTGGGTTGCAAGGTAACGTAGATGTCAAAGCTTCCAAAGAAGTCTGGATAAATAATAGTAGGTCCTGAGAATACAACAAATGTGACTTGCTGGGACTTGGCTCTGAGCCATCATCCTGTCTACAGCCGGCAGTTGCAGCCATCCAAATTTTGATTGTTGCTTGCCACCATGCCTGAATCTCGTAGATCAGAGTGTTGTGCTGCCCGGGCCGCCTTTAAGGGGCGCGGCCTAGCACAGACTGCATGGTGTCCCGCACTCCATGCGAGGACAATTCAACGTGCCAAAATTGTTTTTCGGCTACGGAACGGGCCCTTTGTGCTGTCCGGTCTTCGACAAGGAAAAGCATCCAGTGGCACATTCCCCTACACAAATGAGTTCCTCACATGGCTGGTGGCGACGAGCGGTGGTTCTCATCTGCTGTTCGGCTCACCAGCCATGAGCTGGAAGATGAGAAAAGAAATTCGATGCACCGATAGCATTGCAAATGCAAGGTACCACAAGCGATTTTGCTTCAACTGTGGTTGGCACATCATGTGCCTGGTTCACACTAACTACTTCATACCGAAGTCTCTCCCTCCGGCTTGGTCTCAGCCTTCACAGCCGGCCCGCTGAACATTCCACCGTGTTCCGCCCAGTAGTAGCATGGTGTCAGCAATGTCCAGAACATTACATAGCCAGCATGAATCTGGAAGGGCAGAAGAGGGTCCTGCGATATGAAACTTATCAC